GGCAGGTCCGGTCCATGAGCATGGCCTACCTTAAGCAAAACACCCCCTTGGCCCGCTGTGTGCCCTGCTCGATTTCAAACCCAATATTGACATTGCTGGCAAGGAAGTCTACCCGCCTTTGCTGTCAGCAATCGCAATATCAACCAGAACGAAACGAATCAAGAATGGCAGGGTTGCATATGGAGCGCCCACCTCGGCCTTCTCGAGGGACTTGAAGACGACGACCTCGTCCAGGCGGTTGAGCAGCTCGGGGCGGAAGTAGGCCTTCATCTCCTCCATGACCATGGCCTTCATGCGCGAGTACGCACCGCCGTCCGCCTCTGCGGTCGGCAGCACAAAGCCCAGCTGGTTGCTGCCGCCACGAGCAATGACCTGGAAAAAAGGTACACCGAAGTGAGCCATCAATAGGAGAAGAAACATTGACAAGTTTGCAACATGCAGCCGCATTCATCCCGGACGGGTTGCTGGGCTTCTTACAGTCCGACCGAGGCAGACGTTTTAGAATTACAGCCCATCAGTGCTGCAAGAAGCGCCGAAAAAAACTCGCGGAACATGCAACTCCTGCGCTCTGCACGGTGCCTCATCGTCCGCGTACCTTGGACCCGATGTTGGAGGTCATGACGATGAGCGTGTTCTTGAAGGACACGGCGCGGCCCTGGCTGTCGGTGAGGCGGCCGTCCTCGAAGATCTGCAGCAGCATGTTGAACACGTCGGGGTGCGCCTTCTCAATCTCGTCCAGCAGGATCACCGTGAAGGGTCGTCGCCGCACAGCCTCCGTCAGCACACCCCCCTCGCCATAGCCCACGTACCCTGCAGTAGAGACTCTGGTTTAAAAATGACGGCCTCGAGAACAGGCCGACATGGAAACAGAAGAACACTTGCAGACCGGAATCCGAGTAAGGCTTAACCAAGAAGCCGTGAATGTGATAATACCAATTTTCGGGAAAGCGACCAGTATCCGAGTGCCCACAAGAAAGTAACATTTCCAGCCACACACCAGTGCAGTACTGCCCAACTGCAGGTTGGCTGAACCGATGAGTAATGCTTGCTGTTGCGAGTGTTGTCTGCGGTGGTCACCTGGGGGCGCTCCCACGAGCTTAGACACGGTGTGGCGCTCCATGAACTCGGACATGTCTAGGCGGATCATGGCGTCCTCGGAGCCAAAGTACTGCTCCGCCAGGGCCTTGGTCAGCTCCGTCTTGCCCACCCCTGTGGGGCCCGAGAACAGCATGGCCGCAATGGGGCGCTTTGGATCCTTCAGCCCCACGCGAGCGCGGCGCACAGCACGCGCGATGGCGCTCACAGCGTCGTCCTGCAATTTATCAGCGCAGCTGTGAGACGCTGCTGGCAAATCAAGAAAAAGATGGACAAAGATTTGACACACTTGACCCTATACCTCGTGAAGGAACCCGACCACAGCACGAAGGTGTCCTTTCTGGCCTGAGGCGACTGAAGCACCTTGACAAGGGCACACCCAGAGCGGGCGTTCAGTGGGCCGCTCCGAAATAGTCCTATGCTCTGCTGCGAGCAAGCTGGCGGAGGAAGTGTTGAGCCCACCTGGCCGATCACGCGCGTGCGCAGCGTGTCCTCCAGGTCGACCAGGCGCGCACTCTCCTCAGTGGTAAGCTGCTGCACGGGGACGCCCGACCAGATGCTGGCCACCGCCGCAATGTCTTCCAGTCCCACCACAACATCCTCCTCGTCCTCCCAGAAGGTGCTGAACCCCGCGCGCTTCACTGCAGCGTCCAGTTCCGAGATGTCTGCGGCGCCCGGGGCGGCCGCAATGGCGGCCTTGGAGGGAGCCTCCTCGAACAGATTGAACGAGGGGGATGATGGCTCGTTGGCGAGGACCAGCGCGCTCTGCTGCTGCTTCTGAACTGCCCGGATCTCGGCCCAGATGTCGGCAGGCGCTGCCGAGAGGACGCTCGTCTGGCGCTGCTTGCGCATGTTGAAGGCGCTAATGCGGGCGCGGCTGCCAGCCTCGTCGAGCAGGTCAATGGCCTGGAGAAGAATTTAGGGGGACAGGGTCAAGCCACCGAGGGGACAAAGAAACATTTACGGACAGACCGTTGCGACAGGGAGGGTGATTTGTCCTCGACGATCTAGTTCTAAGTACGTGCGTCGTATGATTGCCAGTCGGATTTCAAATCCAGTAGGGATTCTTTGAAAGGCAGAGATGACAACTTCAAGAACAATAACACTCGCCGTTGACTCTTCTGTTGGGAGTCACATGAATCAGCTGTGTGACCTGCAATCATGGTTCCGCCTCACCTTGTCTGGCAGGAACCTGTCAGCAATGTAGCGCGCGGACAGCTCCACTGCGGCATCCACCGCCTGAGGGCTGAACTTGCACTTGTGGTGCACCTCGTACTTGTCCTGGATCCCACGCAGGATCAGCTTGGCATCTGCCTCCGATGGCTCTAGAACCATCACTGGTTGGAAGCGCCGCGCCAGGGCCTTGTCCTTCTCAATGTGCTTGCGGTGCTCATCCAGAGTGGTGGCGCCAATGCACTGTTGGAGGAGCAAGCACAGAAGAAGGTTACTTCATGGACACTGATTGCGCGATGGCTTTCTTCCAAAACACCTGATATATCAATCAATCTTGATGCCGAGGATGAGAGAAGTGACAAGGCAGAACTTTAGCATATATTGAGCGCGAAGTGTCCTGCAGGATAGATTTGTAACTCTTCTCGTCTGCCACCAGCGTTCCACGGGCTTTAGGCAGGGGGGCTTGCATCGCTTTCGGCGCTTACCTGGAGCAGCCCTCGTGCAAGCGCTGGCTTCAGAAGGTTAGCAATGTCGAGACCGCCACCCCCGGAGCCGCGGCTGACCGAGCCGGAACCGACCAGAGTGTGCACCTCATCAATCATGAGGATAACATCCCCCGCCGTCTTAGTCTCCTCCACCAGGCTGGTGACGCGCGTCTCCAGCTCACCGCGCTCCTTGGCGCCCGCAATGAGCAGACCCATGTCTAGCGACATCACGCGCTTCTTCTGCAGGGGGGAGGGGCAGCTGGCTTGGCGGGCGCTTCAAAGCGGAAAATGATCTACCAGGTTGCATGGACGCAAGCCAACAAGTCAGGCGGCCAACAAGCTGCTTCACTTTCCATCCACAAAACAATCTCTGCTGTCGCTGGGTCTGGCATTGTTGCTGCCGCTATGTCTGGCACGGCAGAATGCATCAACAGTAATCTCGACAATCCAAGTGCAGGCGACTTACGTTCAGAAATTCTGGGACATCATCCTTCACAATCCTGAGAGCCAGCCCCTCTGCGATGGCGGTCTTGCCCACACCGGGCTCGCCCAGCAAAATTGGGTTGTTCTTGGTCCTCCTAGCCAAGATCTCAACGACTCGTTGCACCTCTTTTGCGCGCCCAATCACTGGGTCAATCTTCCCCTCCGCTGCTCGAGCAGTGATGTCAACACAAAAGTTGTCTAGGGCACCCTTGCCTGTAATCACAAGATCATAGAGTGAGGAAGGCGCTCTAGCAGCAAACAAGTCAGATGAGAAGTTCCCATAAGGTCTGCAAGGAAACAACCATCTGCAAAGACTCAAATGACTTGCACGCCACTGAGCTCCAGCGCACCAGCATTTCTGCCGTTAAGCCTGGCAACTGTCAATTGCAAAACAATGAGCTGACAAGCGGTTGCATAAGGTAAGCTCACCTTTGCGGCTCGTCTGAGCAGACCTTCTAACACCAACACCTGCGGTCGCCCTCTCACTGGCTGGACTAGGGTTCCCCCGAGTCTCCTTTGCATGCTCGTCGTTGATCTGATCTACAGCCTCTGCTTCAAGTTTCTCCTTCCGAAGGCCCAATCTGAACATCAGCAGAGCTCGAAACTTAGAATCGCACACCCGCTGACCGGTAAAATACCGCCAACGAAGAATAACAAAGTCTGCAAGGCTCACAACAGCTCATCAAGTCATTTCCAAGATGCAGGTGTCGCTGCAGACAAGACGAGAGCAAACATCTTGTTAGCACAACACGTTCTCCTGCTCATGTGTGCAACTCACCTTTCGATCAGTTTGCTCGCGCCGCCATCATCCGCTCTGACGAGACCCACCAGAAGGTGCTCAGGAGATATGTACTTGTTTCCCAGGCGCTTGCTCTCGTCCGATGCGGCTTCAAAAGCATTCTTGCAGCCCTACAAAGAAAGGAGGCGCACTTATAGGAGGCCTTTCTAGCTCCTGCTTTTCATGACTAAGAAGACCTTCAGGCATGCCAGTGCCCGTTAGTTGATCTAATTTGGCTGAGAAGGCAGAACACCTCAAGGAAGAGAACACAGAACTTACCGCTGAAAAGGGGATTTCGCCCATGCCGCCAGCGCTTGACTCTGGAGTAGTGATTTGACGCATTGCTTCCCTGGCCCTTTCAACTGTCAGACCTGTCCTCAAGAACCCTCCTTCGCCTCTTGCCTCTGCCACCAGCCCAAGGAACAGCTGAGCAGTCCCAACCTGCACCGTTTACAATTGGTCCTAAATGTGAGGGTCCAACAATCCTTTTGAATTGGAGAGATGACCTTCATGCATTGATTTTTGGCAGGACGCAGTCTTAGGAGGTCCAAATAACAAGCATAACAACGAGTAGCTGGATTTCGGGTCCTTCTTGCACTGCAAACAATAATTAAGCTATGAGAAGGGAGCAGCAAGAAAGTCGCGTACCTCCCTCTTGCCCAATGCTTTCGCCTCCTTTTGCGAATTCATGACAGCCTTGATGGCTCTCTCAGTGAACTTCTCAAAAATGGCCACAATCACACCTCTCCGAGCACCGCCCCTGTGCCTCACGCTAGTTGCTGCTGCCAGACTTGCAAGCAGACTGGAGGGACCTGCCACTGATCTGCTTAGCCTGTCCAAAGTGCACTCTCTTCTCAAGCCCGTGCAAGAAGCATCCAGCATAATTTTGCTGCATGGCGCATGCTTCTGAGCCACATGGGCTTTGCCAGCCTTGTGACTCCTCCTGCTTTGCCTGTGGCATCCTTCTCTCGCTGAATTGCTGAGTCCCAAGGAGCTAAGAGCAAAGCTAGGTGCTACTGCACTCATTGCCATGTTGGCGTATCAACGTAGAGCAAAAAGGAGTGTTTGACAATCCGCAGAAACAGAGAGGAGCCGCCAGCAATTGATCCAAAAGCAGCACTCTCAAAAACCTCTCACCAACGACTAGGGCTCCAATTGCAGCGGCTCTACTGACCTCCCTAGCTGTGGGCCTGCTCTGACTTGTAATCTTGCTCGAAAGCGGCTCCTTCCTTCCCCCTGGTGCGCCTCGCACAGAGTCGACACAAGCGACCTCGAATGCAGAGCTCCTACCGTATACCGGTAGTCCGAGTCTTCGCCAGAGTTCGCCATGAGATTTTGGCGCGCAAGTACGTGGCACTTCCAACACCTACCGGGCAGACTCTAGGGACACCGGCGTTTGCCACGAGCAAATCCCCGAGATGATCCAGTCTGAGGACCAGCTTTCGCTGACCGTCGGCGTCTATCTGGAGTATCCCGGTGAATGCAGCTCCCGATCGGTTCAAACTTTGGCGGTGCTGACAGGTGCCGCTGATCTGGAAAGTCAAAATTCCAACCGTCTTCAGGCAGCTGGTCTCCACGTCACAAGTGGCACGCGGGAGCGGTTACCAGGCAGCTCCGCGAGTCGCCACGTTGGATTCACATGCATGGGCATTGGGCTTCTGGGGCCGGAATTTGGGGTTTGCATATTGTCATTTTTGCCCTGGATTGTGCGGGCCTGGATTGGTACTCTCCCCCGCCATGAGGCTGCACATCGGGGCGACTGTCCCCGAAATCCTACGAAATTCATTATGGAATCTGGTACTACAGATTTTCGGAGCTTTTGTTGAGTAGGTACTCACCGTCGGTTGTGTATCCAACGGTGTTAAAATGCAGACGAGAGATCTCGACCAAATCCGACGGCAAATATAGTACCGTCACTCGAAACCCCCTGGCATGACAGTGCTGACTGACTCGGCCATCGTTGAATTGGCAGCCTACTGAAGAAGCAAACCATCTGCAGATCAAGTTGGTGTCGGCATTGAGCTGCAATTCGAACACATCGCAAGCCACTCGCTGGACGCTATTAAGTTCCAGCTTCTCTGTTCTGGCTCTTGATAGACATGCCGGCTCTTTCAAATTGACATATATCACGAGTCCCTATACTAGCTTCAGTGGAAATACATGCGTGAAATAGCTTATACAATACATGGTTCAGCTTCAGCCTTTCAGGGATGTAAACGAAGTCATGGATCTTCTTCCTTGCAACATAATTTCGAAGATCCTACATGCGATACACCCTAGTCTTAGCACACAGACAATGAGCGTGAAATGAGCTATGGACAAATTCTGTGTCGTGATAAGGAAGTTACCATAAGGATTGTCAAAAAACTTTTGGCCCTTTTACTCCAGACATAGTGATGATGCAAACAGCAAAAAAATGTTTCATACAGAAAGTGCAGAAAAGAGTTTAGCGACCTGGCTAAAAGTTTGGGGCTACCACATATACCCTTCAATCCTACCCGAAAACCACCCTCCCACAACCTGATGAGGCGAGACATTTATACAAGGCTGGATCATCCGCTGTATTGTCCTAGCACTTATGAACAAGAACCCCAAAAACAAGAAGTTTATAGATCTTTCTAGACAACACTATATTTACAAGATGAAAGCACATGGTGCATCGCCTAGCTTCGCAAAGCCGTCTTTGCTGTTTCTTAGCTGTACACATGCCTGAATCTGCGGCCCTTTTGCCGCGCGGCCTTAACTCGTCCGGTAGCATCCGCCTGGTTCCAACAGCGCTGGCTTTAGGACCTTTATGGCTCCTTTGATAGACCCGTGGCAGGCTGGGCACTGCAGGGCCAGGCTGGGCGCGCGGTCTTTGGTCCCGTTGCTCTGGGTCCTGGTAGGCAACATCAAGCAGGAGGAGCAGAAGCGGCACCCGCACGGGTCCACCGCGGTGTTGGCCGTCAGGGTGTGGCACAGCAGGCACTTGTTTGATAGCCGCAAGAGAGACAGCTCGCTCTGCAAGGTGGAGGCAGAGTATTATCGGCACTGACTGCGTACACCAGCAAGGGAAGCATGAGCTTCGGGCTCGAGAAACTACCATGCACTTGCGATCTGCACATTCAGCATATAGAATCTATTTCGACGTTGGAGAGAACTTTCTATCGCCCCGCAGCAAACAGACTGGTTACCTCCGTCGGCCTCTGAAAGGAAAGCACTAACTTCCTGTTGGCGTGCGGAAGGACCACGGTCACCAATGGCCTCGCTAGTTCAGCATTAACTAGAGACAGGGCATAGGCGTGGGCCCGCACCTGCAGCGTGTGCTTCTCCACGAGCAGCGCCGCGATGTTGGCCTCCAGGTCCTTGTGCTTCGCCTCCAACACCTCGAGGTCGGCCTGGTGGCCCAGGAACTGCGCCTCCTGCGCCTCCAGCTGCTCGTTCAACTGACGGATCTGGGGGCAGACAGCACAGACAGTCAAGACGAGACCACCACAGCAGGGACGGCTGCATCATGCCTTCTCCTTGCTATCGCAGTGCTAAGGCTGTCACTACGTCCATCTAAGCGGCACCACTACAGAAAACGGGAGAGGTCGTAAAGATCTCGTAGAAAACAAACGTCAACTTCACGTTCCAAAACCTCCTTAAAACGGCCGTTTGACTGATGCAACTCTTTTCCGGAAAGGATATCGACGTCAAGGAGCCCCCTGCTGAACGCCACCCCTTCCAGGTTTGCCCGCAACCTCATGTCTCAACTGCCCACCTGCTTCCTGAGCGTGCCGTTTGCTGCCCGCTCCTCCCCCAGCTCGTGCCGCAGCGCCGCCACCTCTTCCCGCAGTGCCGCCACCTCCGGCCTCTCCTTAGCCTCCTCGGTGCGCGTCAGCTCCGCCAGGCACGTCTCCAGCTTGGCACGCGTCGCCAGCTCTTGCTTCAGCTTCCAGGCCACCTGAGCGCCCTCCGCCTCCAGCCGAACGCGCGCCTCCTCTGCGGTCCGTAGCTCCCACGCCAGGCGCCGCGCCTCGTGGGCCTCACTGCGGGACCGCTTGGGCTCCGCTCCATCGGACTCGCCTGCGCCCTCAGCAGCAACTAGGCGCTTCAGAGCATGCCGCGCTGCCATGGTGGCCCCAGGCGAAGTCTGCGGGCTGGAAGGCTGCTGCAATGAGGGGGAAACAGGGTCATGTTACAAACAGATTGATGTTAGAGCACGCGACTCAAATGGGACACCGGGTCAGGTCCTGATAATTACAGACGCTTCGGCAGTGCAACTTGCCACCTGCACGTTAAGGATCACGGGCTTTACTGTACCTTCTCATATCTCGAAACCGATTGGTTTTGAAATTGAGGAGCACCTTGACGTGCAGCCTCCACGGCACATGATACGAGAGCCCAGGGTGCAGTACACAGGTCAGCCTTCCTCTTTACAAGCTTTCAGCACCTGGTACCAGTGACTTACCGGTGCCTTCTCCGGGCTGGTGGTTGGTGCGGCCGCCTCGTCTGCACTGTCCTTCTTGCATAGCTCTGCGCAGGCCCCCGTGCTCCTTTCTGGCCCGTTGTCCTCCTTCTTGAGCCGGTCGCTGCTGGAGGGGCCCTGGTGCGTGGACGCCGCCAGCATCTGAGTAAGGGCCTCGTGCGCGCCAGCCTCGTCCTCGTCCATCTCCGAGAAGTCGGCTGCCCCCAGGTCGCTCACTTTAACTGCAGAGAAAACGCACTTCAAGGTTGCTGCAAAAGCCACGAGCAAAAGTAACATGCTTTCATCATGACGGCTTCAGATACGCAAGACACCCTGTTCCCGGGGTTTCTATTGGCTGCGTGGTTCCGCCGGATAACAAGAAGCGTTAAGCCATGTTCATCGTCTTGTTTGCAAGCAACGATTAGCATATCCGGCTTGGCAGAGCTCAGGCATACTCCGACTCCGATGACCTCTAAGCCAGGAAACTGCTCCAAAGCAGGAGGTGTTTCCAAACGCTTCGGATCACTGCACAATTGTTGCACCTGTGGCCTTACCTTGGAAGCACCTGAGGTGCTGCCTGCCCGCCTGTTGCTCTGACAGCAGCTCCAGCGAATCCTCGCGCCGCACTTTGGCTGCCAGCAGCAGCCGGTCCACCGCACTGTGCGGCCGCACCGCCTTCTTGGTGCGCGTCCTCTTCTGCAGCCGGAACTCCAAGCTCAGGAAGGGGAACGCCTCCTGCTCCTCTGACACCGGCTCCGCCTTGGGCAACTTTCGCTTGCGGCCCCGGGGCTGCGCCTCCTGTGGCGTCTTGTTCCCCTTGGGGCTTCCCCGAGTGCTCCGCTTGAGCCCCGGCGTTCGCCGCTTGCCCGCCCCCTTGGCAGCGCGTGCCCCGCTGTTCAGGCGCTGCTTGCGCCGCAGCTCAAAGTGGTACTGGCAGTACTTGGAGTCCTCGATGCGCGGCCGTCCGCACTTCCACCCGGTGCCCCCGGACATGATGCACCGCTTGAACTCCCCCTTGAGCTCGCCGCCGTCCTCTGTCTTCACTTTGACCCCCTCTGCTGGACCGTTCCCTTGGGCTCCCAGCCGCTCCTGTACATGCCCCTCATGGGCTTCCGCACCAACGTCGTCTGCATGTCCCAAGTTGTCCAGGCCGCCCGCGAGCGCCTCAACAATCATGCCCACTCGTCTGAGAGACTCCCCCTTGGGCGACATGCTGCTTTCTGGCCGGTAGGGCGGCTCCCGCAAACCAGCATCTGCTTGCATGTCCTGATGCCCCTCTCCCCTCTCCTGCGCTCGTAGAAACGCATCTGGCAGCTCGCCCAACACGGCTCTGACAGGGGCATGGGCTGTCATGGTGCCACTTGAACCCCCATCTACAACGCTCTCGGCCTTAATGCCAGGCTGCAGTGCCTCCTCATTCTTCCCACCTGCTCCGCCCGTTCTGGCCTCCTCACTGTACTTGTGCGCAAGCGCCCATTCTGCCAACTCCTTCTCGCTCGCACCAATTGTCACATCTGGTCCCAGTGCGGATGCTCCATTCTCAAACTCACCCCTCGCCCATGGCTCCCTTGCTGCTCCTGGGGTCACGGCAAACCGTTTCTTCATTGGCAGGTGCTGCTGTGGAAGGAGGGGCGGCGGGCCACCATCTTCATCCCCAACAAGCTCGTCACCAGAGGAGTAAGCCTGCTGCCTATCCAGACCGTCTCCCTCAGAGCCCTCAGAATCTGTACAATCATTTCCCCAACCTCCCCTGTGCACTTCCCTGCGGAGCCCTTCGGTAGTTCCCTGCTGCAGGCTCCTTCTTCGAGTTCTCCTGCGCCCGTTGCTGGAATCAGGGGCCTCCGCCTCTGCCTCAATGCTCTGAGTGCGGCTCAGCTTCTCGTGCGCCGGCAGGTTTTTGCGGGGAATCAGCTTCCCGTCCACGTAGTCCCTGCAATGCCGGAAGTCTCTCGTGCATACCAAGAGCCAGAAAATGACCTGATTGACACGGTCTTTGCAGCACCAGCTCTGCATAGCTCCTAAAGTCTGGCCGTATGCTGGCTTGGGAACTCGCACCTGCTTCATGAAAAGAACAGGCAGCCAGGTATACATGCAATGCAATGTGCAGAATTCTGACAAAAAATGAGGTGCCTGACATACTGCAACAGCACCTTGCAGTGCGAAGGGCGACCTTGCAATGCATGCACCTTACCTGATATGATATATACAGTAGCGCGATCCCGGGTGCCTGGACCTGCTGCACCGCCAGCTGCGGTTGTTGGACTTGCAGCAGCGCTCTCCCTCCTGCAACCCCGGCAGCAACCCCGCCTCCTCCTCCTTGTCCCAACCGCCCGCTTCTTCGATTCCCGCTTCCTCGTCCTCCCTCTCCTCCACTGTTTTCTTGGCTGCCTTCCTCTTCGGCTTGACGGCGACAAATTCCTCTTCTTTTAAGGGCTCGTCAACCTGTGCCCCTGCCCTCTTCTCCTCCTCCAATGTGACGGCCTTCTGGCCCCTCCTTACACTGCTCTCCTGCTTCTGGTTTTTCCCGCCGCCTTTCGAGCTTCTTGAGCCAGGCTTGGTAGTGGCAAGCCCTGCGCCACCAATGACCTCATTGTGCACGCTAGCAACAGCGGCCTCTGGTGCGGCGACAGTCAAGCCAAATAGCTCATGGCTCCTGGTCTCCTCGCTGCACTCTGCTTTCTCAACGGCGTCAACATCCCCACTGACTTCCTTTGCAGAGCCATGTGTCGGAGAGGCAGCTCCTTCTTGAGGGTCCCCTGCTAAGGTTTGGCCAATGTGTGCTGCTTCCCCAATATCCCTAGTATGTACAAACTCCTTCTCATGCCAATTCCTGCACAGAGAAGGCTCAGATGGTCAGTACATGCCTTTTGATAGCATCAGCTCTATGGCTTGATGAAGGAATGTATGCTGGTCAATTGGAGTCAAAACATGCTGTCACAAAAGGATCCCTCCTTCTGACATCCTCCCAGGAGGCAGAATGGACATGCAAGCTTTCAACAACCTGTGGGCGTCGATTCCCCATGAACATTCAGCTCTTGCCGCTTGCCTCAACTGAAACTGAGAGCCACATTCCAAATCGGAGTTCGCTAGATGGGACTTACATTCCATTGTTCATCCCATGCAGGTTGCTAGCAGCCACCTGCTGATTGTCTTCTTCTTTGTTCCTGCCCTCTGCCACCACTCCATGCTGTGAAAGACCCATGGCCTGCTCCTCCTTCCGCTTGGCCTGCTCAAGAGTTTCCCGCTCCAGCGCCGCTGCCACAGCAGCTAGGGCAGCCCTCTCTTCTTCAACTTTGAGCTCCTGCAAGTACCAGGACCCCTCCATTTAACAACAGGCTTCTGCTTAACCTAGCTTTTATTGAAGCAAGTGAACATGGCCTGCGCCTACCAAAACATTGCTTCTAGAGCGCCCTTGCTTCTAAGGGCTTCTAAAGCCAAAACTGGACACCTCAAACCACCTGTAGTTGGCGCTTTACTTCCTAACTTTCTGGAGCAAGTAGATGCCCCAGTTGCCTGCCAGATTTTCCACGCCTGCCCAAACTGTCCAATGTTAATACAGAATAGAAAGACAAGGAGCGCCAAACAAGAAGCCCCATACCTGCAACATTTTCCTCCGTGCAATCAATTCCTCCACAGGATCAGCCCATGAGAACTGATTCTGGTAATATGCAACTCCACATTTGTTGCAAAGATTCTTCTCTCCGGACGGCCCTCTCCTCCACTGGGAACTCCACTTGATAGAACAACAAAAGCATCCTCCATCTGGCCCTTTCACTTTCCCATCCATGCCCCAAACCTGCAGAAAAATCAGGATTCTCTGCAGTGTGAGAGGATACGCAGTGCTGTTGACCACACTGTGTTGAACCAATGAGGCTCTGATTCAGTTGCACTTCAACCAACCGGCATGCCTTCCAAACAATGCATGTATAATGAACGCTTCTCCTTGTAAGAAAATCGAAAACTCCCATTGCAGCAAATGCAAATTCCAGCTTCAATCTTGAAGATGCCATTTCTGGTCCTGAGAGGCCTTAAAGACGCAAAAACGTTCAAAGCATGTTCACCTGCATAAAGGTGGCTACACATTGAATCTCAACATGACATACGCAGGCACAAGGCTTCTTCCAATTGTGAGGTAGACAAAGGAGTCTGGCGGTATGTTTGACCTTTTCTGCTTTCAGCGTAACGAAGGTCTAGAGCACTTGAGGTTTCATAATACTTTCTGATGGATGCGGTAACTTGCTCTCAGAAGATTGGAAGTAAGAAACTTGAGAATCACAGAGGTATGCCGAAATGCAGGACATGCAAGGAGCCCTGCTCATGCAACCCTCGTCCAATCCCCCCATGTACAAAGCCTCCAAATATCTGGTGAGAAGATGACACGGGGAGCAAAAGCTTCTCCAAGGGCGGCACTTACTGTAAAAGGTCTTGTTTCATATGCCTCCTTCTCTTCACACTCCTTCCTGCTTGCTCATTGTGGCTACTATGGACAGACCGCCCTACAAGGATCAGCCAACACCTTCTGTTTGCACGTTCTCAAGGTCCATCTAACCCTGGGCAAGAAGGGGAGCGCGAAAAAACGTTTTATATCGCAAGGCAAGCAAGCCTGTCAGCAGATGTTGGCTGCCTTCCCGCAACCGCCACTTCCTCTATTTAGCTGCTTGGGCTCGTTCAAAGGTCCAATTGTTTCTCATTACTCTCAACCCTTCTCAAACTGCGACCCACGGTCGAATAGCACTGCCACTTCACAAGGAGGCGCCATGATGTGCCTGTCAGGACACCCTTCCAGGTCAACTGAATTGTGAGATTGGTTGGCCCTGCAAACCTAGGTACCTGCTTGAACTTTGCTTGAACTTGAAGTTGCACCAGTTCAACTTCATCTTCCTGGACCCTGGTTGCCTTGTCACGCTTGTGCTTTGTATTACCGGTACCTACCTACCTACATACCTAGATTGGCGGACTAAATGGCGTTGCCACATACAAGTCAATGACAGTGGTGTAAATGACCCCGGGGAGCCGATCCGGGGCTACTTATATTCAGGTGGGAATGCACAGGAGCCCATGCCCCGGGGAATTCAATAGCAGTCCCCAGCTGGCTCCAGCCTGAATATGAAGGAGGGCTCCGCTCAATTTTGTGACTGCACAGAATCTAGCTACCAAATCACGGTAGGTGCAAAATCACGGTCCGGTTTGGAAAGGAAGGGGGAGGAGTCCGAGGAGAGCGCCTGCCTGGAAGCACACTTTTGAAGGGACAGAAGAAGACGAAGCGTCCGAGCAGACTGGCTGTCATACGCTGATCGAGTTTCCTCTTTGGTGCCTCTCGTTATTGTATGCTGGTGCACTCAAAATGGCCGGACCAACAGTGCTCCCAATGCAAGTCCTCAACCAACTTATGGACAATGGACTATTTGATACTCTTCGAAAAAGCATCACAGCCGAACTTGAAAGCAATGTAAGCTGCCATCCACCTTTCACCCTTGCACGTTTTGTTTTCCAGGCTTAAGCAGACTCGGCTGGGATGCAGTTGCGATTAAGAGAAAGTGATTGTTTCTTTGAGAAAGTCCGTAACAGAAGGATAATGTTTTTGGACAGTGCTCTTATGATTGTCTTGGTTCAATCCTGTGGCTGCTCAAGGATAGTAATTAGCAGTCACGTAGCACTCTCTGAGCAAGTCAAGAAACCCATGCAGATGGAACTCAAGAAGTTCACCACTGCAGAGGTCGAGAGAAGTCAAGTACTTCAGGCTCCAGGGGCTGAGAGAAGGTCACGAAGGGAGCTCTTTGAAGCTCTTAGAAGGGAACTACAGTGAGTAGGCCCCTTGACTTTGCACTTGGTGGCGGGATTGCATTGCAGTGGACTTGTGAAGCATCATCAAAAGTTTCCTTCAGCACCATCCATAGGTTGTCGTGGTTACTATAAACAAATTCCTGGTGAAAAGGAAGCTGTTTTCTGAGTCTGCTATTCCATGATCTCGATTTCCGATGCAGACGGGCCATCCAGCTTTCTTGCAGTCTGCCCACCCAGTTCCCGCAGCAAAACTTGACATGTACTTTTCGACTCTCTTTTGTCCTCTTGCAGGAGCAAAGTACTGGAAAGGGCTTCCGAGGCAGCCTGGAATGCGATCCTCTCAAAAGACAGTGTTGGTCGTCAGATTGAGGAGCAGGTGGAGAAGACGTGGTGGGAACTCAATGGCTGGGGAACACCGCCTGAGCGCATTCAACCCCCAAAACAGAAGCCAGCAGAAGAGAAACCTCTGGTTGTTGTTGAGCACTCAGCCCCTTCATTGACCAATGCGTCTGGCATTGGCAGCGGAACGGCAGATGAAAGAGGCCCTGATGCGGTGGGAGCTGCAGACCAGCCAGAGGCCGCTGCTCAAGTGACACTAGGTGCCGGAGCAGCACCTCGAGAGGCTTCACATTCCCTTCCAGAGGAAGTTCAGTACGTGCCTCTTAGAATGGACTTGGACCAGGCGCCAGGGGAGGGGACTGAGGGTGGTGCACCTCCAAGCAGCGGGGTTCTTGTGGCCGAAGTTCGCACTGCAGGGGGAACAGAGTCAGAGGGGCAGTCGCGCCTTCTTTCAGATGCACCGGCAGAGGCGTTCGGTCAAGTTGGCGTCAAAGCAGCTGCAGTGGACGATCCGACATCCATCGCCGCTGAGCCAGCAAATTGTCTTGAAGGGGAAGCGACACGGGCGGCAGCCTTTGTCAGGATGCAGGATGGGTCAGAGCCGCATCTTGAAGCCCAGGAGGGAGTCGTCAAGCAAGATGATCCATCCCTGAAAGAGTCGGAGCAGGAACATGTGGGGAGTCGTCTCATGGACGGGCCTGGAGGGCTAGTTGAAGAAAAAGGAGAGACGCATGGTCAGAACACGGAAAGCTCAGTGGAAGGGAATGTTGAGGAGAAGGGGGACAAATCTGGTGCAGAGCAGATTGTTCACAATGAGGTCCAGCCTTCCAGCATGGAGATCGCAGCGCCAGGTCTTGAACTTGAAGCAAGCAAGACAAGAGATCCTCGCAGAGCAAGAGGAGGAGACCGGGATACAGATGTCCAGTTGCATCCTAGCATAGGGTCGGAAGCAACGGAAGAGTTCGTTTCTGGTACAGGGCCAGTTGAAGGATCAGCAACGCCATCTTTGGTACCCTCAAGCAAACCAGAAATTGTTAGCAGCCCAATTGAAGCAGACGTCGAGATGACGGAAGCCACTGCGCTGGCCGATGTTTCGAATGCTGTTGAAGCTGGTCAATTGCAGACTGGTGGGGATTATGTGGAGGCAGCTGCTGATGGTATCCATCCATCAGTGGGCGGAAAAAGGGGCGTCGAAACAGAGGAGGAACAAGCGGGAAGAGGAACGGAGGAGCAAGGGGCCACAGAAGCGATAGGGCAGCTGGATGGACGGGCGAGACTGGGAGGGGCAGGTAGCGAGGTGCAGGTTTCGGGAGGGCTAGGTGAGGTGGAAAAGCCGGCAGGGTCTTCAAACAATCAAGAACAAGGGGTTTCAGAGATTGGGGCAGCACCTGTCGGAGCGTTGATAAGTGAACCTCTGATCGAACCCCAAACAATGGAGGAAGGATGAGATTGCTCATCCAACTTGTTCGATCTCGGTTGCCAGACCTCCATATTGAAGCTTGCTTCTGGATTGGAGTTGTATTGCTATAAGTCTCAAATCTGATGTCAATGCAGAACTTATCCCTAAGGGGCTCTTGATTCGACATGAAGGAGTGCTTCAATTGCAGGCTTAAATCAATTGACGACCTGAGATGTTGCATACATATCTATACTGTGATCCAGGTTTTGGCAGGTTGTTGATGTGCCAGCGCTTATCATGCTCGCCTCGCCGGACGCCCCTTGCTTACATGATTACACGTTCGTCTGAAGAAGGTCGATCAGAGTACTTAGCTATACAAACGACGCGCATTCAATAAACTCAAGCACGACTCGCTGGCTGAGAATTATACTCACGCGCGACGGTACGTACCTGGCACGCCTAGATCTATGCGGGCATGCGCCTCATCCATTCTAATCGAAATTGCAAATCGAACCCGCGGCGCACACATCAAGCACTGAAATTCACGCGTCTCATGAGCAATGATCTGGACTGGCCGCGCGAATGGATGGGATCAGTTGGACATACATGACGGCCTCGCAACTACAACCTTGGCATCCTGTGGTTGCACATGCTCGACAAGTGCCAGACAGCTGTAGCTCCTATAAAGACAGCTGACAGTTGCCGCCCCTCCTAGCTACGAGGACTACCGCTGCTTATCGTTCAGTATCAAACAGTTTCGTTGACACTTCCTGCATGTCACATGCTCAGCAAAACGGCGTGCTTCATTCGCAGAGGAAACTGCATCTTGCCACGGTGGCTTCAAACATCGCATGTCTGGACAGAGATGCATATCTTACAATTCGTATATGGCACGCTTCGAACAGGGAGCAACCTTGACGGTCGATGCTGCCAGAGCAACTGCACTGACCACGGTGTTTCCTTCGTTGGCTGCTCATTTCTACCATGACTCAGCACGTATAAGGCCAAGCTGCTATTTTCAAGGCCTTGACAGGCGGCCGAGGGAGTGTCTGACCAGCTGCCAGCTCCATCCCTTCGACACAGCCGATTTGGGCAGGGATTGCACGCTGTCATCAGGTACCTTCTGAACCGAAGTCTGCCGACGCTCTCGTGCTCCCGTCCCTCGCTTCGTCGGATCCCTTCGTCCCATTTTCATGCGCCGTATTTAACGCACCCTCTACCTCTGACCGTGCCGCATCTAACGTCTCATCCTCCGCCACTTCCTGTCCCTCCTTCGAAGCTTCGCTCAGGCCTCCCTCGCCACTTTGCCCCCGTTCATCCTGCCCATCCACGCTACCTACGTATGCCCCGAGTTGCGTGCTGCCGAAGGCGTCTCCTTCCTTGGCCTTCCGGTAGCTAATGTACAGCAGCACCTGGATCACGCTCGCAAGCACGAGCCAGGCCGCCTTGCCGAGCCGCGCGCGCGCCTGGTGCGACCACTCGACGACCGTCACTGTGCTGATGGGCAGCGGCGCCTTGGTGAAGAAAGTGAAGTAGAGCATGACTGCGATAGGAGTCAGCAGCGGCAGCAGGCGGTACAGCGGGAACGAGGGGGGGTGCACGAAGCGGCGCTGCCGCACGGCCTGCTTGCTGGAGACGTTTTCGAGGAGGATGGCGGGCCCGGCGACTCCGAGGAGGGGCAGCACGGTGAGGGCGTAGAAGAAGTAGGAGAACCAAGACGCGATGCGCAGCAGGCGGAGGCCGGGGTAGAGCGCGACCAGGGTGAGGGGGTTGATGCTGGGACAGAGAAAGGATGGGGCTCAGAGAGGACCTTACGAGAAATGCAAGTAGGAACGCTGGTGGAGTGAGGCGCGTCGTAAAGTAGCGCACCCCAGCTGCGCACTACTGAGGAGCGACACAGCTTCAGAGGCGCCGACAACCAGGGAGGATTGTTGGTGTAACTTGTGCAGGCTAAGGTGGGGGGACTTGTCGTTTTCCTTCCATTACTACACGGACTTCTGTGAGAATATGAATGCGGCCAATATTTCAATATTTCAGGCGGTCAAAGATTCTACAATCGTACCTTTGCTCTGGCGTTCTGAAGAGGACGACCAGCTGCACCTTATCCATTTTCTGCAAGACTTATCTCAATCCGGTTTATGAGGCTTTCTGGTACCCTTCCTCTTCACTGGGGACTGCTCTGATTATGACTGACCGCCATGTTTATACGGGGGCCCTGGGCATCTGTAAAAAGTCGCGTTTGACTTTGTAAACAGAATTGACCACGCAAGTCTTACTGTGAACGAAAGAAGCTGGTACGCCTGGTCAACAAGAAACTTCTGGGCGGAGGTATCGGTTCATGGCCCTACGAGGATAGCAATGCAGTGACTGCCCCGGCTCACCGGTTGAGGATCTTCATCTCCTGGATGAGCTCCAACTGGCGCGTCCTGGTATCATCCAGGAACCTGTCCCCTTCCAGGCCTGCGTACACGACCACCAGCAGCAGGGGCCAGTACACTTTCAGCTGGGTCATCGCCAGGGGCCGCGCGTGCGCCCACCAGTCCCGCAGCGTGTCCCGTATCCGCACAGGCCGGTGTGAGAGAGTGGCAGCAACAGTGCGTGTGACGGCCGTGATAGACAGGCCGGTGGCCAGGGCCAGGTAGCTCATGTTGAGCAGCAAGAAGGCAAGGGCGGTGAAGACGGAGAGCTTGTTGACGATGATGAGAGCGGGGGGGTCGAGCGCGCGAATCAGCTTCACGGTGGCCACCTGCCAGCAAAGGCACAGCTCGGTAAGGAGCCGACTTGGCAATATGTTCGATGTGATGAATGGCCTCATCAAGAAACACTAGCTTGCATATTGGGAACAAGATCCATGTCTTTTCTGCCATTTGACAAGAGGCTCAGCTACTTGACCTGAGGCACACTGCCTCAGTAAGTCGGGGGGCGGCTAACCTGTATCATTTCCTGGATAAACCACAGGAGCGATTGCAGGAGAATCAGGCCCAGGGCATAAACTGGCCCCATGCCAAGGAGCACTCTGAAGGATGCCGGCAGCTCCCCCAGAAAGCCAAAGTCTTTGACTGCCTCCTTCCCGATGAACCTGCGATTGCAACACTCATCAAGGGCTACCAACTTGAGCGGCAGAGTAACGCGTGCTTAAAGGTTCATTCCAGAGTCCATATAAAATTGCCACTCTACCAATGTGGACTTACATCAGAATTGCAAAGAGGCAACCACAGACAAGCTGCCGCTTGCACCACCCCGCCATCAAAAAATTCCGGGAAATTGGGCTGACGGGACTCAACACATAGATAAAAAGCCGGACCAGTGCTTACCTGTCCTTCAGGGAGGTCAAGACCCCTCGATTCTGTCCGCCAGCAGCCGAGGGTGTGTTCTCATCTCCAGGCGCGTCATTTTCGGATGTTGAAGTTTCGGGCTGCTCCAAAGCGCCCTGACGCGATGATGAACAATAATTGTTCAGCCCCACAGCAGTCACGTCACACTATAGTAAGGTGGTCAAGGCCCTTAAGCCCGATTGCAATGAGACAGGTAGTCGAGAGCGAGAGAGAATGCAATTGCATGGATCTTATATTGCTCCACTGATGCAGAAACATACAGAGAACTTAAAATGGTACACTATTACCACATCTGGACAAAGAGACAAGGCAAAGTGACCATAACTTCCAAATCAAACATCAAATGATTAATTTGTGCAACATGCATCAACTGTAAATAGTGGTGGTCAAACGCAATGTGGTCTGCCCACCGTGTCCGAGGACGGTGTGGAGGCAGCCCCAGCCGCCTTCAAGCGCCTCCTTCCGGTGGTTTTGCTTATCTTTGATACCTTGGAAGCATCTGGTGTAAGCTTCCAAATTGTCCTGAATGGTGGGTCTGATTCAGGTTGATTAATGTTTCTTAGAGCTGCTTGCCTGCCCAAGCGAGGGAGCTCGTGACAAGCAAACGCACTTCTTGCAGCTGATGCTGACCCGCCCAAGTGCGGCTTCTCAAACTTGTCAGACGATAGAAAGAAAGCACCAGATGAGGAAAGTTGGCTTGCAGCATTCACAGATCTTAATGCCATCTTGATCAGCAAAAGGTGTACATGCACTGTGCGCTGCTGAACAAGGCACCTGCTTTGGATGGCACCCCAGCAGCCAAGCACCTATCAGGCAACATGGGCGGAAGTCGGCTCCGTCTGCAACTTGATTTGCAAGCAC